TATGATCATAGTTTGGTTTTATTGAGAGGAGGAAATTGGTAGAAAGATGAATATTGTAAGGCTTTTGAGGTGGGAAATGGGCCCTTTAACAAATTATTAGAAAACAAGCACTCAATCTCATTCAGTGTCCATTCACTTTAAAGGAGCTAACAATAATTTAGAAAGGTATTTTGAATTTTGAAAATTTACCAAACTGTGTTCCTACACTGCAACATTAATCATATCCTATTTCCCCCAAGTCAAAACTTTGTTCTTTCAGGTACAATCCTTTGCTAAATTATTGGAAATCCTATGTGGTTCTATGGGTTATGCCTCTCTCATAGGATCTCAACAGAACTCGGATTTTATCTTACTAATTACTTTTATAAAATTAAATTTAAACTTTACTTCTTAAATAATATTACATCTTATTCTAACAAAATTAAATTATAAATTAGTTTTATAAGTTAAAGAATTTCTTTTTAAAAATAGTACAAGAGTCCAATTTGCATTTATGAAAAAGAGAACATTCTATATTTACATGTCATTCTACTTTCATCTATCACGAAAGATTCATATAAAATATCAAAATAACATTTCCAATTAATTTTTTTATCCTCCTCCATTTTTATTAATCGTGACAACTTTATAATATTATTATCATCTTTCATTAGCACCCAATTCAATACTTTAAATTTAATACATTATAAATGAATTTTTAAGTGGAACAACTAAGTTTTGTGCTTCATTATATAATTTTAAATTTTAAAATTAAGATAAATCTTTTGTCTAACAGAATAACATGGTTAATTTTAGTCTCTCAAACATGAAAACTAAAATCACCACTTTTATAATGTAGAACTGAAAATTGGTTATTCGGAAAATCTTTGAGAAACTTAATTAAAACATATATTATCTATTTTCTAATTTATTAATGTCATGTCTCATTATTTTTAACAAAGTCTTGGAATAAGTCTACACCTCCAACAAATTTGTTTTGGAATATTTCAATTGATTGATGCATGACACAATAGTAGAATAATAAAAACTATAAATGAGTCAATAATCAATTGAAGTCAACATGCTACCTTCAACCACTTCATAAATTCACCTTGATAAACGTTACCAAATAAAATATATTAATCATATTTATGGGACCGTGTCTTATTTATGCACCATTTTTTTAAATTATGTTTTGTCGGATAATTCTTTCTTAAATCAATAGTGAGCAACACTTGAACATTGATTTGATCTAGAACAACATGAATATATTATATTGTAACCCAAAAAATGGTTGAAAGTAGTCAAGAATATTAATCTATTAAAGTTTATATAAATACCACATTACCCCCACGAGTCGAGTTATCTTTTCTCATGATAATTCACTCAAGGCACCTCTTTCTTGAAATACTAATCAATGAAAATTATTTCCTAATTTTGAACTATACTAATCCACCTCGTTTTACGTTTTATTAAGTAGTAGATCTTATACTTTATTTAATAAATTTTAATAATTATAAATAATTTTGATACCAAATTAATACAGTGAACTTTACATTTAATTCAACTTATAAAATCAATTCAATTAAACGAAGACGTTCCTTATTTATCTATTATAATTTGATCTTTTATTTAAGTTTAATCAATAATATAATTTCTTATATTTAGGTATGTGATTGTTTTTGTTTTTTATTTTTTTAAACTCAATTTTAATATCTTTTAAATATGATTAACTTGATTTTTTCTAGTAAATTAGAATTAATCTGTTTAAAAAGTGTCACTTTAAAATATAAAAAATGTTATGTATTAAATTAAAAGAATATTAAAATAAAAATAATTCAAATTTTAACACGTAACATCTTTAATAATATTAACATCAATTTAACAAAAAGAATCAAATTAAATCATTTAAAACATATTAAAAATTAATTAAATAAAAAATATAAAAAATTAAAATGAATCATAAATTTAAATATAAAAACTAAATTACTAATTAAATTTATATTTAATATATAATTTGATATTAAATATAGTTATGTAAAATCTTCAACCATTTGTAATACAAACAAAGGTTAAATAGAAATTAAGTTGAAACGCGAATTTTCTAGAGAACAAAATAGCGTTTTATGTAACATGTTATTATATATCTTTTTTAAGTTGAGTTTTTTTATAGTTGTCGTATGCAAACTTTAGAAATAAATCCGTGATTGAATAGAGAAGCAAAATTAATAAATGATGGGTTAAAAGTCATTAAGTTGAATAGTCGTAGAGAATGGTAGAAGTAGCTCCACATGGGGCAGGGAAGAATCTGTATAAAATATTAAAATTGATGTTCTGGTAATGAAAAATAGTAATACTTTTCAATGTATCAAAAAACTAATAGTTTGGTTTTACAGCTCATTCTGAGTCCATTAAATAAAGGAGACATGAAATTATGCATTTTAATATTAGTTTTTCCTTTACCAAAAATAATAATTAAATATTAATCAATTTTAAAAACAAAAAATAATTAATCACTAATTTAAATATTAATTTATAAAACAGTTATTATAAAAAAATATAATTAATATATAAATTAAAGTTTATCTTAATCTCTAAAATTAATTATTATGGTCATAGCTATTAAGAAATTAGTATCTATATTAATTTCTATAATATTTAATTATTTAATGTTAAAAATTACTATTAGTTTCTTGATAACTAATGTTAAAGGTTAATTTAGATTATAATTTACAAATTAATTATAATTTTGTATTTATAATAAAAATTATTTTAAATATTAATAATTTTTAATTTATAAATTCATATCTAAATTTATAATAAAAACTAATTATTATCTTTGTATTTTATAACTGAAATATTATTTTCTCACTTAGAAAATAAATAATTTATAATCACTTAATTTATAAATAGAAAGATACATCCAAAACTAAGATATTTGGATTTTTCTGACTTGAAACATGTTAATTTAGTTTAGATAATTCAATCTCTATATTGTCCCGGACATCCAGTCTTTTATCATAACAACTATTAGTAATTAATTATTTTCTATTTTATTTTTATTCATAAGAACTATTAGTAATTAATTATTTTATATTTGATTTGTATTCAATGATTTTTATGTAGTGAAATCATTTTAAGGTTTCGGTGATGACCAGGCATTATACGGTTTTCAGAACATTCTTGGAAAGATTACTTTATTGATTTTTACCTGTTTTTAAATAAAAAGAAGTTATTTGTAATTTTACACGTAAATTAAAATTTAAAATTTATGATTATCTTCAACAGTTGTTTTCTTTTTCACTTTAAGTAATACTTAAAATTATATAAATTAGTATAATACCATGATTGAAGTTTCTAAATTTTAAATTACGTGTAAACAATTCAATATAAATACTATAATAGTAAGTCTAAGTTTCCACATATAAATATTTCTTACTAATAATAAATTTATATTTAGAATAGAACTTAGAGATATAACATGTTATTGCATTCTAAAAATTTTATATGAAAGATAAAATATTATTGCAAAGAAAATTAAATTTTATCAAAAATTCAATTCTAAAGAATTGTCAAAAAATATTAAAATGTAGTTTCTAATTTTTTTTCATATTTGCTTATAGTTTCTAATAAGTTTAACTCATCTTAATTGTTAACTTCTTTTCTTTATGCTTTCATCTAACAACATAATTTTAACAACATGATTGATAAATACGGTAGAATTCATCTAAGTCTCCTATTAAATAGGAATAAAAAGTTGAATATTTTATAAAAAAATTCCAAAATTTATTATTATCATTTTAAGTTTTGGATTAAAATAATGTCATATGATGTGAAAGTCATATAAACTATTTTTATATTTAGCCTTCTCTTCATGTAATTGGAAAAGTTTATTTATTAATTAATTAAGATATATTCGAAAGATCGAAAGTCATATATATATTTTATATAAATTGTATTTTATTTATTTTTCATGTATTTGATAAAGTCATAATAATTGATTTATCATAATCAATTGCATTGTTTTGTTAAACCTCTGAATAACGTGACAATTGTGTTAACAATTGTATCAGTTAATATTGTTTGTTCAACAGAATAAATATTAAGAAAGAAAACAGCAGAGTAAGATTAGTCTAATTCTGAATCAAAAAGTAAAAGTAAAATTCTTAAAATAATAGAAAGAGAAACACAGAAAACAGAATAGTTTATTTGAGAAACGAATATTTTCCAACAAGAAACAGAACAGAATAGTCATTGCAATATTATATCTGCTAAGAAAATAGCAGAACGCTTGATTTTTTCAGAGCAAAGAGTTTTCTAAACAGAGGAAGAGTGTGTAATGGTGCTAAGGTAAACTTCACATTTATTGCTCAAGTTGTGAAGTGTGTATCTGAATTGCTTCAAGTCATTATTTAGAATCAATCACGCTCAAAGGGTATCTGCTATTTCAATTATATTTACCAATTTCAAACCTTTGTTTATGTCAGTGCATAAAATTCTACAATCTTTGAAACAGAGGGTTCTGCCTCTTTTCTTAAAAGCTGTGCCATTTGACAAAAACCTTCACTTGCCCTTCAGAAAATGACTCATTCTGCACCTGCAAATGCCAACTCAAGAGGCCATCACTCATGTTCATACAAAAATCTCACATAACAAACAAATTTTTCCAAAAAAATAAGTAATTTTACTTAATTTTTAACTGTTTTTTATATTTTTGTTTTTGAAAATTGAAGTTGATTATTAAGCTATAGTGATTTTTTTCATCTGTTCCCAAAAAGTCACGAGAAAGAAATCTTGAACAAGCCATGTTGAGAAAAAAAAAATTGGTTAAATTAGAACAACTAAGAATAATGTTAACCAGCAGAGTCCTCAGAAGTTTTGCCTAAAATATCTTTGGTTGTGACATTGGCATGTTCTTCAATGAGAACTTAAGATATAATTTTATACAACGTTTTGATATCGTTATCTAATCATAATCAAAGTTTTACCTCGATAATATAAAGTTGAATCAGGTAGGTTTGACGAGGTAAAACTCTAGTTTTGATTAAAGAACAACACTTAAAGAATTTGATCTAAATTGCGCTTGATTTAAAATTGCAATTGTGGACACTCTTTGAGTTCATCACAACTACTACAGCTGCAATTTGAGTCACACATACCCAGAACGTTGTTGTTAATGACAAGGCAACTACAATTGTGACTCTAGCTTCAATTCAAAATGATGCACATTCCATTAAAGGGCCTGGGGTGAAAAGACAGAAGAGAGCTCAACAGAGCCATAATCAAGAAGCTCCTCAATCATTTGCTCTATGTGATCTTCCTCAAGAGGCTTAAACTGCAGAGGAAGACTTTCAACATTTCTGGCCATTTTAACATCCCTGTTGGCCTCTGAGTCTTGATCCTCCTCTTCTCTCTTGTGTGGCAACACTTGATGAGTTTGCTCACTCTTCACAGTCAGACTCTTTGGTTGGGATGCGGGAGTGGCATTTGGCACTGAAGGTTTTCTCTCAGACCCTGATGATGCCAAAGCCTGTCTTGTCATTTGCAAAGAAGCCATGTAGCACCTGTGAAGTTTTGCAGTCAAAGTTGCCGAGAGAAGCTTTGAACTAGAAGATGATGTGTGAGACACATTGGGGTTGAAAGGGAAGTTTGTCCTTGCCCTGGCACCACACATTAGCCTCGCTGCTTCATCATAGGCTCTGGCTGCATCCTCAGCTGTTTCAAATGTACCAAGCCATATCCTTGTCTTCCTGCACAAACCAAATCAATCATTTTTATCCCTCTCGTTCGTTTAAACAACACCAAAACAAAACCCTTTTCCCATCTCAACCTCTTACTCATTCACTCAACTTAAAAATCAAATTTTCAGCATTACATATTTGGCTTGATTCTTTCAAACAACAACAGTGAGAAAACCTTTTCCTATCAGTTACATGAATCACATGACATTACAATAATATCCTTTCGAGCAAAAAGACATGAATCTTAAAGGCATCAATCAGACTCTTTGAGTGGCATGTGAAAGATTTTGAAAATGTGAGTGGTTTATAATTGGTGACTTGCATGGGAAAATGGTGGAAACTTACAATATGGGGTGGCGAATTTCGGAGACCCAAGAGCCCCAATGCCTTTGTCGGACACCTCGGTAACGCTGTTGTGGTCTGGCCATGTTGGGGAAAGAAAAATGGATTGTTGTTCTTTTTGAGAAAGTGTTTTTGTGGAAAATGTTTGGAGTGGTACCGACTGAAGGAGAAATGGGAGAGAATGGGAGCTTTTGTAGTGAGGGAAATGTTACATGCCACTGTTTTCTCTGCTCAACAATCTGGCCCCACAGGGATTTTCTTATTCTTTTCCTATCAGCTGTAACTTGGCCATCTTCTGCAATTTGCGAGCCATGATTACGGCATAACTATTCATCAGGTTTTGGTAGGAATACACCTATCAGATTTACCACTTCAAAACATCAATACTTCTTCGTATAACATCTCAAATTATCTCTAAAATTTTAAATTTAAGAATCGAATTAAATTTTTTTTCTCTAATATCATTTTTATTCAATAAAACTTTCAATCGATACTACCTTATCTTATTACATTAAATATATTTTATATCTTAAATTTTTATATAAAATTAAAATTTTTCTTTATTTCAAATTTTAAAAATATATAAATATAATTATTTTAATATAAATATGTTAAGGTTTTTAACATGTCGAAAGGACATTTTTAAGTTAATATTTGAATAGTTTAAATTTTAATTTAAAATTAAAAAATTAAATTTTAGAACAGAAATTTCGAGTAATATTACAAATACATTTGACTCTTCTTTATTTCGATACGTTATTGTTCTTGTGTCTGACTACTTATTTCTTTTTTTAGTCATGAACACAGATATGCATCTATTGTGCAGGACCATGTAGCTTTGTTTTTGTTAATGACTGCTTTAAGAATAAAAATTAGAATGGTAGATTGTCCTCATGTGAGTGTGTGGAACAAATATTGGATGATGACGGATGTGAAGTTTCTTAAGAGGTAAAGTTTGAATTAAAATATCTTTGACCAACATAATATGAAATATGCACAAAAAGAGAGATATTGGCTTAGAAATAAAAGAAGAAGCACTTTAATAGGAGGTTCTGCATTATACCATGGACAGGAACAATTGGAGAGCAAGATAACGATGATACGTTGCAAAATGTTGGAGTGATCCGTAGTAACACATGTGCAATAGATATCAATAATATCTTTTACCATTGGATTTTATGGATATACATGTGATCACTTATGAAAATGTTTATTTTATGATTGGGTCAATCCCACCCAAGTTGCAACAACACTCTTCTTGGGATAAAATGAAAGATTCTTTGACCATCATAATTACCCTAACATGTCAAATTATTTAATCAAGTTTTTGTCACTATTCTCACTTCAAAAACCCATCACAACAACACAACCCTTTCCTCTGTTCTTTATTAGGGTGGGGATGGAGCAATATGATGATGTAAGCTACTTATGGAGGTAAGAGTATGGCTACTGTTATGGAACTACTGCTATTTTAACTCACAAAACCTTTTTTTTTTAAGGTATGTTTCAAAACATTATCCACAACACTTTATGAGAGAACAAAATGAAATTAGTTTTCGTATAAATTAAACATACACTAGTGTTTTTTTTTTCGTATATGGGATCGAAGTTATTTGTTCATTATGTTTTGAGTATTTAGACGTCTCTCTTCGTTATTGTTTGTTTTGAAGGTTAAGTTGAACGATTATTGCAATAAGTATTTCGATGTAATAAAGATTTTATTATTTTATTGTATGATAAATATATAATTACATATCTATTTACCTTAAACTTGTATTTATAAATTTTAAAATAATTTTTGAATTATTAACGGTCTAATCATGCCTCAATTGATACTAGTTATATTTTGTCATACATTAATCATCAACGATCTGATCATTTTTAAGGACGGCCCGATATATTAGAACTATTCGGTTTCAAGAATGATCATTATGATTATTTTTTTATATTTTTAACTGAATGATCCTCCAATCCAAAATTAGCCAAACAATGATACACATAAATCTTGTGTAACTCATCAATAATGAGACATACTTTTAATTTATATAATAGATTAGTATTATTTTTAACTTAAAAACTTTTAATAGTTTATAATGGCCATTTTTCTTTACTTAATATAATTTTCACTCGGTTATATTTTCAACCATTAATGTAAATAATATGATTTAGAAGAATCCAAATTAATGCTTACGATGCTGCTTAGAGTGTGTTAGTAGAAAAGTAGGTTAGAAATTTGGTTGGTATTTTGTGGTCCATGTGCTTCTTCTAGCCACTGTTCACCCACGTGCCCAGATAATTCATCAAATAATTTCCAACACATTTAAAATAAAGTTTAAAATTATTTAAATAGGAAAAGACCAAGTTAATTAAAATTATTTAAAATGATTAATCTCATCCTTTTTCACGTTTGTTATTTTTCTTTCTATTTATTTATGTTTTATATCCATAAACCTCAAAAAATAATTGTAGAGTACCATTACTCATCAGGCCATCTGATGTGTTTTAAAAATATATATATATATATATATTTCATTAATTGAATAGAAAAGTTAATTATTTTTGTGACTGTGATGCATCTGTGTCATGTGGTGAAGTTAACAACCACCTTAGAATTCTTCTAATTTGAATAAAACGACATGTGGGGTCCATTATGCATGCTCATCACTGCAGGGGAAGAAGTTGGGCTCCACCTGTAGCTAAACACAACAAATGCTGCTTAATCATAATAACATTATGCCAATTAACCCTAGTATTTAATCTTATTAATGACATAAGTAATAGATTTTAAATGTTAAAAATTGAAAAAAAAAATTAAAGTTTTTTTTATTTATATTTTTAGGTTTGAGAAAAGTAGAAGTTAGGAGGCAGTAAGAAGGAAAAGTTGAAAAGAAAAGTATGGGGGACAAAAGAACAAGAAGCATGTAAGGTGTATGTCATGGATTCAAACAGTTCCAACTTTATCAACATTCTCATCTTTCTTTCTCTCTCTTTCTTTTCAACATTTTCCTTTTTGCCTTCCAGCTAACACCAAATTAACTTATTTATGTATTAATTATCTACACATTAATTCAAAAAACTACTGCTTAATTAACTCTAACCCTTGCTTAATTATATTTATATATATGCGCGTGAAGTGGGTCCAGAATCATACATAGCATGGGCATGGATGTT